GTGCTGATTGCCAAGGTTGTGTGCATAACTGCGAGTAAGGGTCACATTTGATGATGATGATGATGATGTGATCGCCTTCAATCAGTATTGCGACTGGGTTAAGGTGAAGAGGGCAAAGACAAAGCATTAACCAAATCGGGCTGTGATTTGTAGTACACCGGGATGCCAATGAACTAAACACAAAGTGAAAATCGTTCGTAAAAGCCGAATCGGAGCATTGGCATCTCCGAACTGCGAAGAGGAACAAAATGCCGAAGCATAGACGCTAGTGCGACGAGTTAGAAGCTACGGAACAGAGGGTGTCTGAAACAAATGTGACCCATGTCAATTTGGAGGCCAGTTCTGGCGCTCAGTCGGTCACGCTAAACATTTGTGATGTGCATGCATGGCCACAACAGTCGCCAGACAGCCCTTCTCCTCATCATCGTCATCACTCGTTTGCCTAGTGGAACATCACCTCTTTTTGAGCCTTTGCCCAATGCTACAGCGTCGATGAAGATTGTGTCGCCTCTCCTCACAAGTTGCTTGTATCCTCTCCTCTATATCAGTCCCTCTGTTATAAGCTCCAATGTTGGAACCGATGAGCGTCAGCTTGACACCTCAGCATGGGTTGACACTGTGAGCTTTCGCATGCCACTCAAACACAACCATATCCCCAATGCCAATGAAGTGAGTTTTGTGCAATGCGTACGCTTTGGGTGTATGCACCATCACACCGTTTGGTCTGCTGGTGACACTTGTATGTCACTATGAGGTGTGGCATGCCCACTTGTAGCACCTGGCTTATTTGACTTCCTTTATGCTTGACAGTCAATTTGATGGTTATCCTGCAAGCAACATGCACTGAGGCCTGCCGGTAAAGGTGGCTAACCTTGAACAATGGCATATGCTGGTGTGGGGTTTTTTAGTAATTTGCTTGGGGAGTGTGGGCCAATCCAAAGCCCAACCTCTACCTCCACCTCTCCTCCTTGAACACACGCATTCAACCCTACTTAGTGCTTCCTCCCACCAAACGAGAAGTCGCCTGACCTTGCACCAGCTGCATTGTTGATGTGATTGTCGTAAGTAACATCATAACTGTACTACACAGTGATGGAGTGTTGTCGCGCAGATGCTCTAAAGAAGAAGAAAAACGCCTCGTGCCGCCTCAACCACTCAGCGTGCGCATGCATAAGTGGATTGACAGGTTGGCATGGAGACGTCATGTGCACCAATGCAATTGGTCATCGCTCCTATAAATGCGGTGTGTTGTGTGAATGAGGCGCATTCCCAACGCTGGAGATGGTGCTGCAGTTGTGGCTTGTGTTGTTGGCGACTTGCGTTTCGGCTGAGGAGGGATCCAGCATTGCTGGCGGTAAGGACATTGTATACAATGGCACTAGTCTTCACACATGAGGGTCTCTCAATAGGTGAGATTGGTGCCTGTCTTATCCGACAATGTGTCGCAGCATTGTCTAGACATGTGCATAGACTGTCCTTCTGTTTTGAGCAGCCCATTATCGGTCATATACCATCCAGGTTTTGAAGACTTTAACTGATACCTACCCACGAGAAGTCAGGCATTGGCAATGTTGACAATGAAAGACAAGCGAATTATTTCTATCACCGACGTCACTTGCCTTAGTGTCTTCAAAATGGCTGCTCCTCGCCCTCGTCCTTGACGAAGGTGTAAAAATGTTGGGAAGAACGGGGACAGCATGCAGCCTCGTCATTCACTTGTCTCGTGTGCCGTCGTCTCAAGGAAACATGAGTGAGTAGAGGAGCGGGAAATGCTTGTCAACGTACATGCTTATGTCTACAGTTCCAGTGGCATTAATAAGTTCACTCAATTTGAGTGAAAGATGTAGACATTAGTGCACCACGGGGTAAATTGACGATTTTTTTGGTTCAAAGTGGGAGCCTTTTTCGATGAACCACACACTCGATTCGACGGCGCATAGGAACGACAGTGCACTCCCGCGAGAATCCTATTTATCATATTGCAAGGCTCATGCTTAGCTGGCCACACTACCAGTCATCAGTATACGTCAATTGCATTTTGGGTTGTCACGGCGCGTTGCATTGCATTGCACACCTCCTCTCCACCGAAAGTGGGTCGGATGCCGTGGCAAAAGTGAATGAGGCACGTTCCCAACGCTGCAGATGGTGCTGCAGTTGTGGCTCGTGTTGTTGGGGGCCTGTGCTTCGGCTGAGGAATTCAGCATGGCTGACGACAAGAGGCACCCCTACTGTTCACTCTCAACGTTAATCACTCCATTTCGCTTAATACCGCATTCCTCCGTCCACATACGCGACATGCAATTTGAATGGGTTTCCCTTTGACATGTCTGTCACACACTTGTTCTGTGCAAAAGAGGGAGGGTGGAGGGAAGTGAGTTGAGTGCAGTCTGCATGATGATTCGCTAACCAAAATTGGCGAATGACATGATGTGAGGAGGAACTGGTCCTCATTCGGCAACTGAAGTGAGGTGGAATGCTTACACCGTGCTCATCATCCAGTATCTTCATTTCAGGCGGCTCAGTGTGGGGAGGAAAGTGGCTCGAGTCCAGTCTTCGTTGGTTTCGTGGTAACCACAATACGATGAAGTTGATGTGGAATGTGCTGGCATTGGTGAAACACAACGTGGAATTCCTTACAGTAAGCGCCAGACCATTGGTTGGCACAGGCCGCACTGTGAAAGCCACCGTGGGCACAGAAGTTGGACAGCTCGTTCTTCGTAACTTGAAGCCTAACACACTGTACGTGGTGAAAGTGGAGGCTTATCGCGATAGAGTCGTTCTCGCCGACTACGAAACACGCGTTTATTCATGGCCAACCGGTGAGATATATTCGTCTGTTTGCTTCTTCTTCCGCAACTCTGCCTTTACGTCTGCATCACATAAGTAGTCTGATTTGAGGGGAAAGGACACAATCCAAGGTAAGGTGTCCTCTCCACCTCATTGCCGAATGATGCACAGTCTGTTGTGTAGCACCATCATGGGGTATTTTTTATTCACCTAGGCGAGGGAAGGGATAATGCCTTAACTGGAGGATAGGTGGCCGTTTAATCTCGGGCGTGGGTCAATGCAAGCCACCAAATCTTCCATCAACATGCGCCCTCACTTGACGTCGTCCAACCCATCACACTGCAACACAGGTCTCCATGTCTCAGGCAATGCACTCCCCTTCTCTCATTCTCCCCTGACTCGCAACAACGTGACCCTCACTGGTGCATCCTTTGCAATTTTTCTACAACACACTGCTTTGTCAACGCCTCCTCTACTCCTCCTTTATTAGCTCTACATTGTACTCACTTGACAGAGTTTCAGGCTCAATGGATGAGCTTGAACGGTTTGCTTACTGGTTATGTGAAGTGGGTGCAGTGCCAACTACCACTGCTAGTCGTCGCATGAGTGAGGCAGCCTCATTGTAGTCAACTTGCTCGTAGGCCACCACGTAAAGTGGACGCGAAGTGAGGAGCTTGTTTCCGCACACTAAACGCTCGACTGGCATTCTTTGCAACACAATTGACGTGTCGCTCTATAGCAGGCGAAGCGCACCCAACCTCGACTCAGCATTCGTTCCAGTTGCTCACACTCGCTTAGGTGAATTTGGTTTGGCAATCGTGCAATGCACATTGGCGTGGCCCCGGTGGGACCAATGGTGCTGGCACCTACTCTTCACACATTTGCGATTCGCAAATGACCAATGTCAGGGTTACTTGCCTTCTCAACTCGCCATACTTCCGTGTTCGTTACAAGTGCGGCCCATTTCAGTGGCAACATAACTACTCTTGCCCACCAAAGAAATTTTACCTTCACAGTTGAGAAACCTGATTTGTCTAAGTCACACGAATAGGGAAATACGAGCATACTCGTTGTGTGAGTATCCTCATTCATAGCGTCAAATGGATTGGCACCTGGAAGGCACCAACCACCTGAGACATATCACCACCCCTATATTTGGCCCACTCTACTCTATGTGTCACGAGTGTTTTGCAAACAAAGACACCGCATTTGAAGTGGAGGAAACTTGAGACACCACCCACTGCGACGACTTGCTTCCATATCGAGTGCTGCACCACAATGCATTGCCTGGCTCATTTCACCGCATCTGAGGCTGTGCACGTTGTCCTTGTCGGTGTCAACTTCCAGTGCAGCCGTGGGCGTTGGCATCACAAACTCACGCTACGTGAGTGTCCCACGTGAAGCGATAGTCGACAGACGTGTGCAGTGTGACTTTCAGCAACTGACACTGGGCATTGCATTGCATTTACTTGTCATTCTTCATCAACAGAAGTGAGTGTGGGAGTGCAAATGTCAAGTCATTACGGAGAGGAAGAGAAGTTATGCTGAGCAGAATTGGTGCGTGAAACATGGGCGTGAGTGCTCCAACAAATGCGTCAGTCCTTTTAACCAAGCTGTTAGCAACTACGCTTCAGTGGTGCTGACCACGGATCGCATTCATGGAAATGCATGCCCATTCCACTTCAGAGCAAAATTTGTTAACTCAATTTCGCATTTTTGACGTAATTGCACCCGCACCAGACATTGGACCGTGAAAGGTTGATTTGGCTGAAAGTAAGGAATTGTATGCTTGCTCCCTGTTCACTGTCTTCGATCACCATGTCCTAGCTCGTGCCTCTCCAGTAAAACGCTGCTCTTTGAAGCCTCTTCCTACGTCAAGAGGGGTGAGTGAAGGGTAGTGACGTCAGTAACAACTGAAGGAGTAACAAAAGTGGCCCTTCTGCCTCCTCCTTCTCCTCCGGTTACAGCAATTTCACTCCTTAGAGGCATTAGCAAAAGGAGCTACTTAGGCTGCTCACCTAAGTGTTGTGAAGGCCCACTTGTTCACACTCGCGACATGCCTCACCTAGCAATCGCCTTACCAGAATGTTTGCAAAAGTCGAGGGATGCAGTCATTACATTATAAACGTCCATCCAGATTGGATCAGATCCGACCCTCTCCCAATGAGCTGAAACAATGCACCATGGCTGGAACAACTGCAGCTACCAGGATCGAAATGGGCTGACATTCCTCCACCGTTCCCGCACTGCCACTTCACCTACTTGACAATGCGATGCAAAATGCGCTGAGGAGCAGAAGGATTTCTTAAGTCCATTCTCCACCTGCCTCCTACCTTTGCATGCGAATGGTCTCTTCGATTTCATAACTGAATGCTCTGCAGTCCCATGCACCAGTCATCACTTCTCTGCAAACACTGCTCCACGGGTACTCCACTTTTCCGCAGCAGAGACTTTTGCCACATCCAATGTTCGGTGTGGCACTGTATTCCCTTTCCACCCCCTCTTCCGGCACTGAGCATTGGAAACAATAAGGTGGTCACTCGCTAGAACTCCGGCACTCGCGTCTGTTAGCTGCTGCGGTCAGTTATAACAATCGAACGACATGGACTACTTCGCTATACTGGAGGTTATTGCGAAGGTGAAAGAAGGAGGACTGAAAAGAGGCCAGGCGTTAAAGCCATAGGCGATGGACAGCTTCTGCTTTGGAGACGCCAGATGTCTACTAAGGTTGTAGTATTACGCCTCAAGGTACGCTGAAATATGTCCTTTCCTCGGAGTGGCAGCTAAAAAATTGGTGAATTGGTTTGAAAAAGGCGCGTCACGGCTCAACTGCTGTCATCACCAACTTGCAAAGGCTGTCCAAATGAGGCTGAGGATCAAGGATCCCCAAACCGGCTTAAATAACATCGGCTTCTAGGCCTAGGCACAGGGTGCGTGTTGTGATATGATGGTCTGTGCTTTGGCGCACCATTGTCTAGTAATATGCAAGAAGATGCTATTCGCGTAATTGAATCACTTTCAA